AACTATATTTAATATTTGTTTTGCTTGTGATAATTAATTCATAAAACCTGAGCATGTGAAGTTTGTATAGTAATTATGTTTTGATATCACCTACCTCTCATAAAATTTTGAGCTCCAAACTAGTTGTTCTTACGGGTACCTAAAATATTCATATATATGTTTATTAGAAAAGAGGTTAATGAAAGCTCTTTAGTTGATAAGCATGAAAATGTGTTTTGTGATGAATGGGTTGCTTGGTGCTATGTTAGAAGTGCTTCTAAGTATGCTAGTGTTGATTGGAGCTACTTGATTAGCTCATGCATGTGCTCTTTGTTTAGCAACGCAAATGGATAATCAAATTGTTACTTGCTGAAAATGGCTGCATGTGTGCTCTGTGATGTGCTACTGTTTTCATATTGATAATGATATTTTCTATGAATCATGAAAATACCAAAGTTGTAGATAACTCCCTTATCTTGCTTGTGTTAAATTTTTATGACCATATGCCTGTTAGTTTAAGAGCTATGCTTGTTGCAAGTGCTCTGTCCTGTTTTGTTTGTGCTCTGTACAGTTTTGAAGGATTGACTTGTTGCCTTAGTTACTCATGAAATCACGTCTTGGTGATGTTTAATGAGTTGTAGTGCTTTTCTTAATCTTCCCAAAAAGCTAAAGAACACATCTTTTGGTGAAGTAGATCTCTAGTTATGCTTGTTTAAAGATCTGTGGCTAAATCTGTCCAAGTCTGAACAGAGTTGCTTTGTTTGCAATATGTTGCCTTGTAATGGTAGAATTAGTGCTAGATGGTTATAACAAAGTTGTTTACAATTTGTTAAGCTTTCTAAAAAGTTTCAAACCACCTTTGTTTGATATCTAGAAGTCAAGTTATGACTGTTTTAAGTTGTATGTCAGATTCTATCCATGTTCTGGATAGAATTGTTGTTTTGCATGTTTAAGGTTAATTAATGGTTGAATCACCTTGAGATCGTAATGAGAAAGTTTCAAATAATTTTATAATATTTTCAGAAAGTTAAATATCATGTTTGTTGGGTGCTTAGAACTACAGTTATGCTTTTCTGAAGTTGCAATCAGTTTTATGTCCATGTCTAGACAGGTCTGAACATCTACATGTTTGACCTATTTAACTTTGTAATTAGCTTTTGATGTAAACACTAATGTTGTAGACAATTTCAATGGCTTTTCAGAAAGTCTTAGATCATCTTTGTGGGATGTTTGTAGCTTAAGTTATGTTTGAAACAAGTGACTGTTTGCTGCTGTCCAAATCTGCTTGTATCTAGAATTGTTTGCTTCTACTTGCTCTTGTTTGTATGATTGCAAATGGTTATCTTGGACACCTAGAGTTAAGGTAGCATGCCTAAAATGTTTTGCTAAATTGTGAAGTACTTGATCATGTATAGCTAGCTGGTGGTATGACATGCTTATGTGTGTATAGTGTAACATATGCTTATTTAGTATGTTTGTTGCATTCCTTCATGTGTATTCTTTATGTTCATGCATCTGCATCTATGCATCTCACCCTAGGTACGCTAGGTACAGCACGTGGACGTGGAGCGCATGATGTGGAGCCAGACGATGGTGTAATGGTGGGCTGTCCAGAAGATGGAAGGACCCCTGAATGCATGCTAGGACCGAAGATGTCACCAAGACGGTGCAAGCTAACTGAACTGACTTATATCGGATCCTAGGCAAGCCCCAGAGCATTTTAAGTCTCCTAGTATTTTACAAATGATTACTTAAGTACTTATGATTGATGCATTAGGTTATAAGAGTTGATTGGAACCACTTGATGCATATAAATTCCTTGTCCAGAAATACCACCTTTAACCCGGTATAGGTCCAGGATCGAGTATATGCTTAGCCCTGCTTAGACCGGTAGAAGTCGGGTGATTTCCTGTCACCTGCGAGATATATGTGGATACCGGAGCACGGTTGGCTATATTTGCTATCGTGGAACAGAACCATGGGGTAAAAGCAAATCAAGGCCGGGCGAAGTCTATGCGTAGGTTGACTCATGTGATTCCGTCTGTGCCGATTAAGGACCGTACCATTGTTGGCGCTTCTGACAAGATTGAACGCATGCCTATCACTTAGCTAGCCAGATAACTCGTTCCGACCACGAAGTCGAGTAGCTCAACTCAGGCCGGGTCCCGTTCTGTTGTGCGCTCCTTGCGGGGGGCGATCAGACTGAGCCCAAGGGCAGGCTAGGCCTGAACGTCCTGGCATTTGGTGTCCCAGATTATGCGGCGCGGTACGGACCCACAAAATGTGTACCTGAGTTATACCAAAGGTGACCTAAGGCGACTAATGATCTGGTCTACCGGGGTTTGTGTTAGGAATAAATTCCCAGCTGGTTGAAATCGATTCGAATCGCCGTCTCTCCCGGATAGTGAGAAACTTGGCTAGTCCCAACATCGTAGTAATTGGATTATGGAATGTGATGGTTCGGATAAACATGGAATTGCTATACCTGCTATGGTTACTATTGTATGCTCTAAAAAGATATACCACATGTTTGGCACAGGATAGTTGCTAATCTAGAGATGGATAGTTATAATTAACTTGATGATAGAATTCTAATTGTATAATTGAGTTAATCGTTTTTTATGCAAAATATTGTCAAGCTACCTCCACTTATAAAGCCTTGCATACTCCTTGGAGTCAATTTTATTTCTGGTTATGACGGGTAAGTCTAGCTGAGTACATTCGAGTACTCAGGGTTTATCCCACCATGTTGTAGGTGAGGTTTTGGCCTGCTGAAGATGGTGGCTAACCGTCGATGGGCTCGGTGACTCTATATTTATTCTCATCTATATGCTTTTATCTGAGGATGTCACTTATGCTAGCAACGTATTTGGAGCTTATATTAATGTAATCATTTGAAAGTTATATTGTTTTCCCTAATCGGTTTTGAAATCCAAACTTATACTATTATTTGTGAAACAATTTGTAATATTATTTCCGCTGCAACTCTACGTATGTGATGTGTATTTGCTTAATCACGCAATCTTGGTTGTGATGTTGATTTACCGATGTCATGCGTGACACTCGGCGGACTACTGGGTTTATATAAGTGAGAGTATGCGCGTGTCAACGTGTTAAGCGGGGACAGCCGTACTTGATCTTGTATAAATTGAGCGGTTCTGTCACACCTGTAACCCACAGTAACACAACGGTGTTGGCTCTGCTAGTAGGAAAGGATCGATAGCACCATGGTCCTTCGGATGGTGCACAAATTGGTTGTCATTTCGAACCGCCATTGAACCTAATACAAAGTAGTTCAAGAAAGCAAAGATATGAACCAATAATCATGTAAACCCATGAAGCTAAATCCTAAAACAAACTTATTGAATGTAAATGATGTATATACATACATAGTCCAACTCATCTATACATCTAATCACCACAAAAAAACACACTTCGAACAGTGCAAACCATATTGCTGTCTAAACCCTAATGCACTGCCAACCAAAACCAATCAAAAAATCATAAAAGTTCAACAAGTACAACATGGACCATAATATATTAGACGTGATAAGCCAAAGCAACTTTCATTCAACCAAACGAAAGCCGGTATTGCAAACAACAGTCTAAACCAGAGCAGTATATAAACATCAACTAAACACAAAAAAACAACAGATGTGAGGGAGTCATACCTCATGCACAAGACCGTTCAAATCTAAAAAGCAAATGCAAACTTGATCAAAGACGAATAGAGGATGGGAGGAGAAGAGAGACAACACAGGACACAACGGTGACCTCGAGCTTGCCCAGAGTGGTCACAGAGTGAAGGGAGATAGATAAGAGAGAGAGGAAAAAGGTGGTGGGCCGCGGCCTTTATATGGGCCTGTTGCGCCAACTGTCATGCCAGAGTCGCTGGCGTGACAGACCGGGGCCCACGCACTACCACGCCAGCTACGGTCAACGCCGGGTGCCACCGTGGCTAGGCTTATCAAGCCAACATATGTGGCGCGACAGCCAGCCGCGCTGGCGCGACCAAAAGGGTCACTTTTGCAAATACTTTTTTTTAGAATTAGTATTAAATTATTTATTTAAAAAGGATTACAAATAAAAAAAATTCCTTGGAAGAGAGAGTCAACACACAAGAAAAGAAACACACACACGACACGCAGGCACGCAGCCACGAACACCATGAAATCATGTCATGTTTCTTTTTTATTGTACTTAAGGGCGGGAGCTCTATCTGTTACAATGAAATCGATAAATTATCGTAATACAAAGACGTCTGTCTGTTCAATTAAGATCGAAGTCATTGAGCTATCACTATACAAAGGCAAGAGAGTCGAGTTTTTTTTTTTTGTTCAATACCCTCTCCCTTAGCGAGAAATTTGGACGATCTGTTGATTAGTTTTTCTCTAAGTATTCCACATAGTAAAAAGGTGTGTCGATGTGCCTCCTCACATTAATCACCTTTGGACTAGAAATTATTCGACCATGCCAATGATTCTCAAAACTGTTACTACGAGAGAATTTGGCGCCAAAGCTATGTGTACAAGGGCGGCGTAGCAAAGGTGCTTATGTTTCACTCATATAATGAGATCTAGTGGAGTAGTTATTAGGTATTTCTCGGTTCCCAAACATTTTAACCAACTCAAAATTTCACAAGTTTGACTAAACCTATGAAAAATACTATTAAATTTTATGTCTCTAATAAATAGGTTTATTTATTAGAATATTATTTTATGACTATCGTAAATGTTATTAATTTTTGTATAGACTTTTAAATTTCACTTGGCTCTTTGAAAATGAGAATTACTTTATTTCGAAGGTAGGAGGAAGATAATGTTGCGTTTCCGTTTTGGACTCCCCCCTATTTGTATTTGGATTGGAAGTGAACTGGAATGGGCAGCACACGGCCTGCTCCTGCTGCCGATGAGATGAGGTGGTGATTGAGGTGCAGGACAAAAGCAAAAACGACACCTCCCGTTTCGTTCCGTTCCCGACGACTCCAGTGACCGTGAGAGGAGAGGCGACTAGGCGAGGCCATGGCCTCCGGCACCGGCTCCGGCCAGCTGCAACCCCCAGGTACCTTCCCCGTCCTCCTCCTCTTGGTGCTCGATTAGATTCCAATTTTTAGACCGACCAAACTAGAATTAGGTAGATTCAGCAGTTAGGGAGAATCAATTTTTTCCTTGCCCTAGCAGCAGCGGCGGCAGATGCTGACCCGGGAGCCGGCGGCGACAAGCTCGTCTTCGAGGCGCCGCCGCAGCCCGTGAGGGAGGACTACGTCCAGAACGCCGTCAAGTTCCTCTCCCACCCAAAGGTCAGGGGCTCCCCCGTCGTCTACAGGCGATCCTTCCTCGAGAAGAAGGGCCTCACCACCGAGGAGATCGACGAGGCCTTCCGAAGAGTCCCTGTAAGATGAAGATACATCCTCCTTCCATCACCGTCTTCATCCATGCCCGTGCCTTCTTATCTTACGTTACGCCTCTCTGTCTGCTGCTTGGCTTGCAGGATCCTCAACCCAGCAATACGGCTACCACTTCTCCACAGCAGCAGCAAGGTAACTCAACTAAACCATCAGTCTCAGCATGTCTCATCTTGTCATGTTGATTTCATTTACAGACTTGCCTTGTCTCTGTTTGCTTGCTTGCTTACAGTCAACAGCCAGAATCATTCCGCTGGGGTGCAAACTTACACCCCAGCGCAACCTGTGCACCCAGCAACTGCTGGCCCTGTCGTCCTTCGAACGCAACCCAGGTTCAGCTGGTACCAAGCATTCCTCGCTGCAGGGCTCTTGCTTGGTTTTGGTGCTAGCGCTGCTGTCTTTATCAAGGTATTTCTCATCTCTGAATTTTTGCAACCCTTCCCGTGCACTAACTGGGGCATCTTTATTTCCATGTTAGAAATTGTTCCTTCCTAGGCTCAAGTCTTGGATACGCAATGTTGTAGTGGAAGGTGATGGCACTGAAGGCAACCAACTTAAGGCCAGGATAGATGAGGAAACGGCCGAGGCTGTAAAGGCTTCTGCTTCGGCTGTTTCTGCTATTGCCAAAACAAACCAACAGCTGCTTGCCTCAAAGGATGAAGGTTTCACTCTCTACCTGTTCATGATTTGCTTCTTCTTCCTTGCCAATGGTTTTACTCACTCCAATAATGTCGTTTTGTTCTTGTTAGCAGAAAAGAAGATACTAGTGACGTTAACACAAGCTCTAGATTCCCAAGCCAAGGAGTTAAAATCCTTGACCGAGTCAATCAGTCATACCAGGGAATCCATCAACATTACCAGGGATGATAGGTTTTCTCAGTACCGCCCACTGGAAGACCATGCCCCTCCTGTTATAAGGAATGGTCAGTGTCCAAAATTTATCTGCTGTTTTATGGTTCAGTGCTTAGCTCTGTTATCAAAAGCGGCCCACCTTGTGCTGCGTAAAGATTAGAAATTTTTTGTCCAACATCTATGTGAATCTCACAACATTGCCATTTGTTTGGTTGTGATTTCAGGGGCAATTAATAGTTCATGGAGAGCTTCTCAGGTGTGCACTTATAATGTCTACCCATATTCCTGTTCCACAAGCATGGTCATGCTTTCAATTATCATCCTATTTCTGACCACTTTCCCTTCTGTAGCAAACTAACATGTACGGTGCGTCGAACGGTGACTTTGGTTCTGGTTGGTGTCTTTCGTGAATATCTTTTTCCTTGTTTGCCATACCGAGTCTGATGTTTTCTTGTTGCTTTACCTACTCTTGCCTTTGTTTTGCAGCGAGGTCTTCATTCGCGCCAGCACCTGTTGAACCTACAGCTGGATCATTTTCAAGATCCTATGCCGAGGTAAGGAGCTTGACTGGTTTATATTGGCATACCCTGCAAGACTGAGTTTTGTACCCAGCAGCGGGCACACGCCAGGTGGGGAAAATAAACAACCTAGTGAAAAGAAGGAAAACTAATTGACATCAATATACATCTGTCAAGTTTGTTGGATCCACTTGGTGCAGTCTGAGTCTCTGAGATTGCACATTCACTTTAACTAACTTTTGGGACAACTAGTATTTGCTGGCAGCCAGCCTTCTTTCATGCTTATGAACAGCTTACATCTGAGTTGATCAGCTACGGAAAATATCGAATTTCCCAAATCAGCTAGATATGGTTGTGTACCAAAGGGAATTGTTTGCAAATCCACTATAACAATCCGTCGCTTATGTATGTTTTTAGACATACATTATTTGACCAGATCTGCAAACACTGGAATGATTGTGTTTTTAATAGTGTCACTCCTCGGGTGAGTGCTGTAGTGTGGCCAGTGGAAGAAGAGGAACTCTTGTAGTGTGCTGCGGGTGCTCATCACCTCTACCAGCTACTCTAGAGGCCTTCCTGTTCTTGCTCTTGGTTGTGTTGCTAGTGTCCTGCATAGTGTGTAATCTTAGTGCAGTGTATTGCTGGTGTGTGTGTTGCGTGCATTGGTATGGGTGCTTAGTTATGCAGTTGTCTTTTTTCTCTCTTTAATGAAGATGACAAGCTCTCCTTCACGTCCGAGAGAAAAAAACTGACCATTAACTAATAAGATTATAATAGCTGAACTTTAAAAGATATGACATTCCTTTTTCAAACTAACTATATAGAGGCTCATATTCTTGACAAAGGTAGTCCTTTTAGTATATATTTTATTACATCTTCTCAATATACATGTTGCTCAATCTCCAAATATATGTATGTGTGATATGTGCATATGGTTAACATATTTTGTTATATGGTGTTCTTTATTGATCAGTTGAAAGCTGTTCAGCTCTACCACGGTGTAACCAATTTCTATAATCTTGTGGAACTCCTAGCTACTCCCTCCGTTCCAAATTATAAGTCGCTTTGACTTTTTTTATACATCCATTTTTCTATGCATCTAGATATAATAATATGTCTAGACACATAGCAAAATGGATGAACCAAAAAAGTCAAAACGGCTTATAATGTGGAACGGAGGGAGTAAAATGCAAAATATATGAGCCTGCATTATTGATAAATATCTCACATATTTGAGTTCTTGACAACTCACACATTTATTACTGTAAAATTCATAATATCATCTGCTTTGTTGTTGTCCATTTAACTTATCAGTTTTCACTGAAAGCATGTGGCCTACTATAACTTGAACCACTACCCTGATTGTATCTGTGTGCTTTTAGCAGACGATGTCCACTGCACAACGAGGGGATAGGTCTTCTGGCAGTAAGGTGAGAAGAAGCCCTTGTCTGTTGCATTTCTGACACAATTATGTCTTTGAGTTGGACAGGCTTTCACGTCTTTGTGTTTTTTCCCCTTAAAAAATCACAGCCATGGGAGATGCAGCAGTATTCGCAACAGAGGCCTGGTTATGGATCCAACTCCCAGTTGAGTGATGATGGATCATACTCTGATGCCCAGAACAGCTATGCTCCTTCTTATCACCAGAATGGAAAGGCCCCTGATTTTCAAGCAGATGAACCTAGGCCTTTGACCTACAACACTGGGGTTGAGGAAAGACCGCCGCCTCAGCGCCGCTGGGTGCCCCCTCAGCCTCCAGGTGTCGTGATGCCAGAAGCAGCTGCTGCCATACGTCAACCAAAGACCCCTCCAAAGCAACCCTCCAGCAATGCCTCTGAGGCAGCTGGTGAGACGCAGGTGAATGGTGCCTCAAGTGCATCGGATGCTGTGACTGAGGTTCCTGTTAATGGTGCTACGGCAAGTGATGCTGGACACAGCGAGATCGAAGAACAATCAGTGGCCGTCTAAGTGAAACCACGACCAGCCAAGAACGGGGAAGCAATCTAATTGAGATTCTGGATTTCTGGTACATCTGGGGGTTTGTCATACATTTCTGAATAACATCTGTATCAGAACAGCGGGAAAACCGCGCAAGATGGATACCTGTAATAATGCAATAAGTAGCAGATAGTTTCTGTATTTAGGTTAATGCTACTTGCCTACTTGTACACAGGAGAACATATCAGTAATATTTCTATGGCTGTTCGATTGAGGGTGCTTAAAAAGTGTGCTTGTGAACTGTTGTCCTTCGGTCTTAATCTTGTAAAGACTAGCAATCGCAATGGACAAAATGGAGACGGTTGTTTGTTTGCCTTTTGCTGTTTCGCTTTATTCCATTCAGGTGTTCTAAGGTCTTGTTTTTCTGGGTCTGCCAAGGATGAGAATGAATCCATTCAGGTGTTGTCCAGGGGTTATTTTCTGGGTCCGCCAAGGATGAGAATGAATGGCGGCCTACACATGGATTGTCTCCGTCAGTTCATGCTCTACCCAGACCCTTGTCCTGGACGCATCGTTCAGATTCAGTTGGATATTTCTGTTGAGGATGCATCATTCTCTGGGGCAGAGAACTCAGGGATAGGAATGGTATTTCGGTGGAAATTCGACATGAAGGATCCAATTGCTTGATAATTACACTGGCGGCCTGGTATTAGGTTGGCAATGGCAAACACAGTTTTTTCGATTATTCTTTTCATTTGGAGTGCAAGGTGTAAACTTATGACATGATTGCAATTATTATTGTTGTCCCAGGTCAAAGGTGGGATACCAGGATTGCAGCTCTGGCTAATCAACTACATCAGCACAACATTTTGATGCAAAGGGATATTACCCTGACACAGGATGGATGATAAAGGATGCTGCATATAGCATAATCTGTTACAGAGTACCACTACATAGAGCAGCGATGCATGCAGATCTACCATTTACACAATTGCACGCGGTGAGAAACTAGGATTACAGCTGCTGAAATGGGATTTGAGGATCCGCACTAGAGCTACAAAAGACTGACGATCAGCAGCTAAAAGGAACATGGGTCAGTAGCAGAACCTAGCAAAAGGGTGGTGGCTTCTCTGAGCTGAGCCTAAGCGTGATGAGCTGTAGCAGAAGCACCCTGCACCTGCAGCACCTTGTCAACCTTGGCAAGAAGACGTTGCATTTCTCCCACAAGACTGAGACTGTCCACGGCTGTCTTTGCATTTGCTTCTTGAGGTGCCGCTGTGGCTTTAGACGACAAGGACAAGATCATCTTCCCAAGATTGTTCCTAATATCTGTGAGAGGGAGCTTTGGAAGAGGCAGAGGAGGCGTGTTGAGCGTGATGGGAGGGAGGTCCTGGAGGCTTGCTACTGCAAATGGAGGTCCAAATGCAGCGCCAAGAGTTACGGCGCAGCTCAAGGCAGTCGCTGCTTGAACCCTGGTGGCGAACGCCACTTGCGCGGTGTGCTTGTCTTGGCTGATGGTGGTCTCGGAGTCGATCACAGAGCCAAACCTGCTGAATGTGGAGAGGAGGTCCTCTCTGGAGGGCAGGGGAGTTCCCTCTGCGAAGTCCAGCACAAGTGCCACGGGATTCCCGACATAGCTGTGCTGCCCAGCTGTCTTCATCGTCCTTTTCTTGTTCATCTTCCTCTTCTTCTCATTGTTAGTGTTGATGGGGGGTGTTGCTGTTGTTACCACATGAGGATTGGGATGCCCATGCGTTGCAGCAGCAGCAGCAGCAAAACCAGCCGATTGGGAAGCCCCATGAGTAGCGATAGCATGTTCAGGCACTGCAGCATTCTCCATGGTGCCATCATCCTTTTGTTGCTTGGCATTGGCACCTGCAGCAGCAACAGCAGCAGGAGGATGGGGATTCTTGGGGTTGGGGTTCTTCTTCTTCATCTTGGCCAAGGATCCATCTTCAAGGCCTGCATTGAGGTTGAGCATCTTGCGGCCAACACCAGCAGCTGATGGAGGCTTGTCGCCACCATCGTCTTGTGAGCCATCGTCGACGAAGATGCTGTTCCTGTTCCTGCTATACATGGCCAGAAAACGGGCCGCTGCATCCATCTCCTCCCCCTGCCCGAGCGCGGTGGCTCGGAGAGCAGAGAGCACCTCCGAGGCGGAGACATGGGGCGGCCCCTCCTCCTCCTCCTCCTCTCGCTGCTTCCGGCTGCCGGCGGCCTTCTTTTCTTGGACACCTGTGTCGGTGTAGGGAGGGGAGAGGTACCTGCTTCTCTTGCGCTCTCTCTTGGTGACGGCCAGGGCTGCCTCGTTGACGTCCACGGCGGGATGGGTCAGCTGGCTCTGGCTGCCCCCGCTCCCCTCCATCTCCATGGAAACGGGCGGCAGCCGGGGCGGCGACCGGCCGACGCCGGCGGCGACGGGACGGGACTGAAGGTTGGCAGAGTGGAGAGTCAGCTCACTGGAGTGGAGTGGAGTGCGGGACCCGCCACTACTTCCTGTTCGCTGGCTAGTTTCAGCCATGATTTATTAGTTACGGTATAGTATTTTTCTTACGCTAACAGTCTGTTTGTTTTGGCTTATTTGTTCGTATCTAATTTATAAGTCATGATTTAAATAATATTTTTTTTTCACATTAAACCAGTCAACAATATTTTCAATCGAGCGAGTGCAATCTAGCCGAAACGACCGGGCTGTAAATCAGCATCAGCCGAGCGCCTAGAAACCAACCAGCACCAGTTTTGTCCCCTCCCTGTTGTGTTCCTTCCACGTGTACAACTTGCTGGCTTGTTGTGCGCGTGCCAACGACACTCTCTCCGGCCAGGTGTTGTCAGACTCGGATAGTTTTACGGCGCTGATTTAAGACAAAACTGGGATGAAACGTCAGGTCTCAACGCAAAGTTTCAATCTATAATTTTATAGACATTTAATTTTATAACTTATAGTTATAGATAATTAGTAATCGTGTCAAGAGAGTTTTATCTAGACGAAACCTATTTTTTTCTTTTTTTAAATACACTGTCATATTATCAAAACTGCCTATATAATAATATATTTAATGCAAATGAAACTTAAATAAAACTCTCGAGACTGGCCTTAGGGCATTCCCACCTCGCGGCTCACCTCAATGTAAATCTACTATACCACTTGTGTCTAAATTATGCCGTTTTGGCTTTTCTAAATACATAGTTATCGGTGTTTCGAGTAAACACCAAAAAGTAAATTTATGCTGTTGCGCGTCTGGCCCGGATGACGTGCTAAAAAGACACAAGGTTTATACTGGTTCGGGCAGAATGTCTCTACGTTTAGTTTGTGGCTGCTGCTTGTATTATTAGCACTGAAAAATTCGTAGTAGGGGTTATAAATGGACGAGAGAGACAGATCCCAAGTCTCTGATGGAAAGATCGAATGGATGACGAGAGCTTGGTTGCTGCTCAGCTATGTGTTCGAGGTTCAACACTAGTGGTTCTGCTGTGATGCGGCGTGATACGTGATGTGATGAATCCATCCCCTTAGTGGGGTGCCCTGTTTTCCCTTTTATAGGCAAAGAGAGAGTAGGGATTACAGATGGGAGAAAAGAGGAAAACCAGAGGCAAAGGAAGTCCTTCAAGGATGTCGGGTCTTTCTTTTCCTCTATACGGGCCCCGCTGACATGGCAGACGGTGACAGGGATAGCCCCACGCCGGGCGCATGTCCGCTGACCCTGACAGGGCCGCGCTAGGCGTCTGTTCGCTGACGATGCCATGCCCTGGTATTGTCAGCGAGTTGTCACGTCCCATCCCGCCCTGGCGGGCGGCGTGGCGGACCAGGGTGCTGATCAATGGCCATATAGGGAGCAGACAGCACAATGACCACATGTCCGTTACTGTGGATGATGTGAGTTTCCTTCTGGACCGTAGTGATTGTCGTGAGCTTCCATAAGGATCCGTGCCCGAGGGCAAATGACGGCGCCCACAATATTATAAGGCAAATATCGACGCCTACAACACTGTTTTGACTCTGACATGCCTAGAAGGTCGCAAAGCACCTTCTGGCATGGCTTGACAGTATTTTCCCACACGCGTGCAGGGTACGGTCCTCGGTATTGCAGTTGATTTGAATGTCCTGCCTTATCTGTGCGCGTCGTTATAAAGGAGTCGCGCACAGATGTCGGGCGGAGTCAGCCCTCAGACGTGGGGCGAGGCGGAGTCAGCCCTCAGACGTCGGGCGAGGCGGAGTCAGCCCTCAGACGTCGGACGAGGCAGAGCCAGCCTCCAGACGTCGAGCAAGGCGGAGTCAGCCCTCAGACGTCGAGCGAGGCGGAGCCAACCCTCAAACATTGGGCGAGGCAGAGCCATCCCTTGGACATCGAGCGAGGCGGATCCAGCCCTCGGGGATCGGGCGAGACGGAGCCATCCCTCGGGAGTCAGCCGAGGTAGAGCCAACCCTCGGGGGTCGGACGAGATGAGGCCCATGGCCGCAGCACCCACCGAGGCGGAGCCAACCCTCGGGGGTCAGACGAGGCAGGGCCCACCGCCTCGGTGGCCGGACGAGGCGGGACCCGACAAGCGGTGTAGTCGTGCTCTTGATCGCGTGGACGAATCAACGTTGATGGTCATTAGCTCCTCTTCGGGTACCCTAGTATTGGTCCTTGATAGTAGCCCCCGAGCCCCCAGGCGATTCGAGTAGAATCGCTTGGGGGATTTTCTGACTTGCCAGCCTGGTGGGTGTAGCCCTAGAGCCTGCGGAGGAGTAGAATATTCCATTGGAGGCTTTTTCGAAAGAGGAGATTCTGAGGGCCCTGACCCTCTATTGTTGCCCACGACATGTCCTAAAGACGGTGATTCCTTTTCGCCGAGGTTGGACCCTTTGCGGGTATGGTCATGAGATTTGGTGGTTGTTTAGCTGGATAGTTTGATTAGGTCCCGGTATCCCATTCGTGGGGATCCGATCAGGGTAAGCTAGGCTAAGACTCAATCATGGGCCAAGATGCTCTGTGGCGCTCATGCGCCTAGGCGCTGGACGCTTGCGAGCCCTAGCTCTTTCCATCCCTCATTGTAGGGGTGCTTGGAGCGACTGTTGGACCCATTGATGGGCCAACCATCGAACTCCTAGGCCCAGACGGGCCATAGATGCGTTTTTTATTCGTATTCGTCTTACTCGTAACGAGTCCCGGTCCCCCCGGGGAGGCGAAACGTCCGGCGAGTTTCCCGAAGGAAAGGATATGGATTGCGTGCACATATCCCGTGGCGTGACGTTGTGGCAGATCATGGCAGGTGCGGAGGTCTAGACGGATGGTTGGTTTCCTCACATCCATCGCCCCTATAAAACCAAAGGGTTCGACCCCAGGGTTTCATACTTTGCCTCCTTGCCTTCACATCTGCAACCTCCGCCGCCAATCCCCTAAGTTCCCCGCATCCGCGTCTCAGCAGCCGTCGAGTTCGCATCCACCCACCCCCATCTTCTAATGGAGCCATGGTGCCGCTCTGATATCACCCTCCAGCGCATGGAGGGCCTTGTCCGCCGTGGTCTTCTCTGCACGCGGACCGCCGTCGAGGAGTGGCAGCTGCCCGGCGAGGAGGACGTGCTGTCACCGCCCGATGGCTATGTCGTCTCGTTCGTGCACTTCCACGAGTGGGGGTTTGCTACCCCTGCTCACAAATTTCTCCAGGGGTTGCTACACTACTACCAAATCGAGTTGCAGCACCTCAATCCCAATGGAATCTAGCACATGGCGACGTTTGTCGCCCTGTGTGAGGGATTCCTGGGGATCGGTCCCCACTTTGATCTATGGCGGTTCTTCTTTGCCATCACCCTTTAGAAGAAGCGAGAGAAGAAGCAGGAGCCGAACACGCCGATGGGATGCACCGGCATCCAACTCTAGAACAACCGGGTCAGCAAATACCTGCCAATGCATTTGTCAAACTCCAACAAGTGGTGGCATTCACATTGGTTCTATCTCAAGAAAGAGGCAGCTACCCCCTGCCAGAGTTCACTAGGCACGTAGTCGAAGAGGTCCCAGACTCGTGGAGGAAGTGGGGTGTCCCGGAGAAGGACAAGAAGAAGATTCGGGACCACCTCATCGCCATCTAGATCCTGAAGGAGAGGGGCCTGAAGGGGTTGGACATCATTGGCGCCTACCACGCAAGGAGGGTGGCGCCACTGATGAGGCGCACGCTTCCCCTATATGCGATGGCACCTGGGGCATCATTCGATGGGATGGCGCTTGCCGAGGGGGCGCTCTCCCCCTCCGAAGTCACGCAGCGCATCAAGAAGGCGATGGAGCCTTTTTGGGAAAGCGCGGGTGCCCCCTTGATTTTGTGTACCCAGTGCCGGGGCATCCCCCGATGCAGTCGGAATCAGGATACATCATCCTTGTAAGTTTTCCCTTCCTCATGCCTTCCCTTCAATTGAACTCCCGACCCCTTGATACTGACATTGAGATTGGGGGACCAGCTAAGGGACCTCATCCTCAGGAATCACCTGGCTCCGTTGCTAAGGGATCTATCCATGAGGGCGGTGAACCGCGTCGAGGCCGAGCGGCAGAGGAAGGCGAAGGAGGATGAGAGGAAGAAGAGGCAGCAGAAATTGCGTGCGTGGGAGCAAGGGGAGGACACTAACAGTGATGACGACGACGATGAGGAGTACGACGACGAGGTAGTTGCCGACACCGAGTGGGATGACCTAGAGAGCAAGGATATGCTAACAGGTATCCGCTCATCCTTCTAGGGGTCGGGACCCTTCCCGTACCATAGAGGGGAGGGCACGTCTGAGTGGCCGACAGAGACAGGCCGGACCGTCGGCCTGTCCCAAGAGCCAGTAGGGGCGGGCGGATCTGCCACTACGCCCGAGGTGCCAACGAAGGAGGGTGGCTCCATCACCATGCCCCAGGAGCTAGCAGGGGTGGGCGGATCAACCGCTGTGCCCGAGGAGCCAGCAGGGGTGGGCGGATCTGCCACTGTGCCCGAGGTGCCAACGGAGGAGGGTGGCTCCGCCGCCGCGCCTTCGGACGCAAGGGAAGCGAGCCCCTCTACCCGGGAGCAGGGGGCGGGCTCAAAACGGCCTCGCCTCGACGAGACGGAGCAGGGGTCTGGGGGTTCGCCCCCAAACGTATCCGCCGCGCCAACAGCGCTGATGTAAGTCACCAATTCCTCTGTTTTGCTCTATTTTCATCGTGGCTCGCGCCTTTCTTTCTCGCAGTGTCTTGAGGTGGCGCAATCTTTTGGCGCCAGCCATCAGCTAACATTGCACCCGTTTGGGGCAGGAGCGGTGGTAGTGCGACTGTGTTGCCGGCCGGTGAGGCGCCGCTCATGGTGGTGCCTGTGCCCTCGGCGGGACAAGTGGGCACCAGGGCTGAAGGAAAGCCCTCAGAGGTCGCCGAGCAGCTG